AAATTTTTGAGCAGATGAGAGAATATTAGCTTCTCAAGAAGGATCAAGCTCATGGAGTTCGTTAAGTCCTCTTATCAAATCGTTGGCATATTTCTTGGTTATACATTACTGAAGGAGAAAAATGGGAACCTTACGAGTCAAATTATACAAAGAAATCCTTCACACCCACATTGCAGGGTCGTGTGTTCATAAATGTCTGCCGAATTTCCAGCGTAATTTTCGGAAAAATTTATTATTAGACTGCCTGCAACGGCGAGAACCAGAACGGAATAAAAGTCTCCCTTCTGAACGATCATTTCAGTCAGAGATGCCCATATGAATCAATGTTTTATACAGTGCGTACAATCAAGTGCGCGCCGCGGCTGCAATTTGCCGTGAGTCATACCACCGCAGAACGGATGAAGTCGCGGGGAGGAGTTGCAACACTCCCCGCGACTGCATCCGTTCTGCGGTGGTATGACTCACGGCAAATTGCAGCCGCGGCGCGCACTTGATTGTACGCACTGTATAAAACATTGATTCATATGGGCATCTCTGACTGAAATGATCGTTCAGAAGGGAAACTTTTATTCCGTTCTGGTTCTCGCCGTTGCAGGCAGTCTAATAATAAATTTTTCCGAAAATTACGCTGGAAATTCGGCAGACATTTATGAACACACGACCCTGCAATGTGGGTGTGAAGGATTTCTTTGTATAATTTGACTCGTAAGGTTCCNCATAATGCAAAATACGACAGTCTACAAGTATATAACGGCAATAAATTAATAATAATTCCAAGAAAAATTAAAGCTAGCGTTAACAGGCGAGAAAAATAAAATATTTCCCATGTTTATGCAATTTTGTGGCGAGAAAGACTCGTCGTTTACATTCCCTACAGTACGGACAACACTTTGTAAGATGAGGCACCGACTGAACAATTAATATTAACATCTACATCACGAGCCTCCTATACAATCTTATATACAAAAAGAAAACATATAGAATATTCCAATTTGTCCATGGGAACGTACGAAATTACATAAATCAACGACTGATTCGATGTTATAAAACATCAATTAAAATTGTATTCTTGTTTTACAATATAACTTCTGTTTAATATAATCTGATTAATTGTATTTTTTACGTCAAGTGTTTTATATGTTTAACAGTATTGTATCCAGTTTAATAGTACTGCAGTTCAGTGGTGTATATATGTTTAACCATGTATTTGCCTGATGATGGCTACTGATAGCCGAAACATGCAGCAGACCCGTAGCTGGGCACTGGCCTTGATATTTGTTGTGTTGTGACGGTTAATAAAGAGGTTGTATATTGTAACACAACAGGATGCATGAAACGAAGAAAACAATAATAATTCAGTTTACTGTTTTATTGTACATGCAAATAATAATAATAATACTAACAATTATTCTACATTTAAAAATCGTTTGGGGAGAACATTCCTGGCTCCGAATATGTCAACATCCCTGCAGACAACATTAGCAGCTGCTGCACATCTAGCAGAGGGACAATTTTTAGATGAGGAGCAGACACTGAACAATGCAAATATCTGATATACCGAGCAGGAACTCGGAGACCAACAATTTCTAGAACAGAAGGGCAGAATTTCGAGCCAAAATAAACTTGAATAAGAAAGAGAGCATCAAGGCGATGTCTCCTAGTACGTAAAGCGTGCAACTGTAACTCCCCAAGAGCAAGAGAATAATTGTAATGAACTTGAGGAAAGAAACGATTAAAACAAAGGGCCGCAAACCTCTGCTGGATGCGTTCCAGCTGTTGGCATCAGTTGACGTAATCGAATTCCAGACTACGGACGCATATTCAAGCTTAGATCTAACTAATGCAGTGTACAATCTGAGCATACAGTCTACAGATGAGAAATTGTAGGTAATGTTACGAACTAGACCCAATAGTTTCGCACATTGAGACAAAATGTAATTGACCTGGTCATGGAAATATAGCTCAGCATCAATAAACACTCCCAGGTCTTTTATAGAATTGGTCCGGGCTACTGACGATTGACAAAGTTTATAATCGTAGATAAGTACGTGGTTTCCTGGAGAAGGATATAACTTTAGTTTTACTGATGCTGAGTTTCATACAGTTAGCAATGGACCAACCTTGTATAGAGTTAATGTCAGACTGAAGTAGATAGCAGTCCTGAGGAGAACTACTGGCTCGGTAAATTTTGACGTCATCAGCAAAAAGCAAACACTTAGAATGGGCAACTGCATCGCACATGTCATTAATAAACATACTGAAGAGAAGGGATCCCTGAGGAACACCGGAGAGGACTTCAAAAGGTGAGGAAAGAACACCGGAAACACAGACCTGGGATTTCCGGTTGGATAATAATAATAATAATAATATGCCCCTTGCCTTCAGTGGGACCTCCTTTGTCTTTCTATGAGAATGTATGATTAGTACTTTAAAATACACGACGACTGTTTCCACTCATATATCCGTCTATTCAAAAATTACAATCGTTTTATTACACCCCATATCATAAGAGAAAGCGTTTTAATTTTTAAACAGAACAACCTGTCATATTTATTAGAGTTCCCTTATCTTAAAGCATAACAGGGAATATAACGAAAGGTTATACTTCACGTTAATAAATAAAGCGAGGCTGATGTTCACGAAATTGGGAACACTATGTGGGGAGGAGGTGGGGTGACATTAATCCAGAAAGGGCGCAGGAAGATTTGCACAAAGCGACTGTGGTCACCGTTACCAATTCCCTAACCGTCTGCCACATATGGAACCCACAGCGTTGTCAAATGCACAAGCTTGTTTGTGGCTTATTTGTAATAAATGAATTAATATCCCGTTTACCACTATAGAAATTTTGTTCCACGGCAACTAACGGATGATATATTTCTGGTTTTCGAACATGGGAGTCATATCCTAGTGAGAATGTTATGGCTTACAAGCTTTAGCTTAACTGAATGCAGTATACTGTAGGCCTATATATTAATTACCCTACCTCTACAGACTTCTTATAATTACTTGTCGGTATGACACGGCAAATAGTGCGACCATTGTGCATTAACAGGTTTCAGCTTTTATTTGCTTAAATTAATTCACAAAGCTCGAAATAGTTCCCAGGTCCTGTAAGTTGCAGCAATGCGTTACTGGTTATTTTTCAGCGTTATAAAATGAACTATACAAAATTGCCCTGAAGTCATCAGTTGGGTAGTAAAGTGCACATCAAAATCGGCGAGAAATTTCTTCATTACTTATTCAATATTCGAAATGACATCCCCCACGTCAAATGTATAACTCACAACTTTCTGACACCGTTCTGAAAATTCACTGGCAGGTTAAAACAAATATTCATATTAATAAGAGAGAATGTTTCAGGTTAACTGCCTTTTGGGCCATGGTGTACATAAAATAAGCTTTGATGTTTTCATGGTGCTGAAGATTCAGAATGTGATATTCTGCGTTACAACACCACATGGTCTCGTAGGTAGTTACCAGCGTTTCGGAGAGTTTTTCTGCCTCATTCTTCAGTGGGTGTGCTGACTATGGAAACAGAAGATTCCTCTGAAAGTTGGTAACTACTTTCAAGACTACGTGATGTCGCAACGCAAAAACTACAATCTAGAACACTTAATGTTTTCTTAGCTCTCGCAGATGGTTTGCGCTGTGCTTGGCTTGTATACCCAAGCTTGGTGTTGGCAGAGGTGTCCGGAGATAGGGACTAGCTCTGTTGATTGGGCCCAACTGAGTAGGTTTTACCTGCAGACGGAGATAGAATCCATTCTCCGAAAATTTGTTTTGAATAAATAAACAGGACGATGTTTTCAGATAAAGCCATGACGATGGATAATGTCCAGAAACATAATATTTGTAATAATGGCACCATCGTCACAAACGTTTAGGTCTTATTTATATCGCTGTATAGTTGAGATATTCCTAAATCAACAAGTTTCGTATCCATTGTTTGCGTTCAATACAAGGCAGGGTTTCCTGTGTTTCATGACTACTGGATGTCGAAAAATGGATTGAGAGTAGGCGTTCTCAACTGTTGCCACCACAACCACATATATACTCCAGTTTCCTATGCAGTCGCCACACATTTTCGTCCCTAACAAGTTTTATATTGATAACACTTCCCAATTCTTGAGATAATTTATCGTCCTAGGCCTATCTTCTATAATTTCACTGATTACTTACTTGTGTATTGTGCGACTGGCGGCATATCTGAGCCCCTCACCTATGAATATGCGCTTCAAGTGGGTTGCAACGTGAGTACTAATGTTGGGCCTGAGGTTCTCACAATGGCGACTATGAATTGTAGGAATTTTGGGGCTGTAATACTGTGTAAGTTGGAGAAGGCCTGACGTTACGGAGGAACACGTCGCCTCCATCTTCCACTAGCAGTCATCTTTGTTGCCTTCCCCCCGCGTATTACAGAGACTATGTCCTACCAAAAAACTTCCTCTGTAGTTCGCTGTAAGAGGAAAATACTATCTACTGCATTAATCGTGAATCATTACAAATGCGCAGCATCATATAAAAGAATCGTCAGTTGATACAAATTAGCAAAATATTTCTAAGAGCAGACATGTGATATGCATCCCAAAATGGAGGCTCTATACCGTTATATAGAGAAAACTCATAACATATTTATATTTTTATGGAGCTATATTCTTTATAGTAGATGAAAATAATTAAGGTAAAAGCATCAGCGTAAGATAAGCATTTACAGCTAATAAATTTATACTTCTGAATCAATTACTGAAGTTGAAGAAGGTGACGCTTTATATACGATGAATGTTTGGCTATTAAGCTGAACTGTTACATAATGGAAAACAAGAGTACCCATTAATTGTATTAGAAACTGCTGGGACAGAGGTTAACACAAACACTACTGATGCCCTTCAGTCAGAATGGAAGCACCGAGAAGTGTGTCAAAGGGACGGGACTGTCGCTCGTGACTTGTTGTAGCACACAACATTTTTGTCAGCACTGTAATATCCGATACGTGTAGAATGGATATTTATTCTGCTCTTTGTCCTCTGTTATGGTCATCCAGGGTCCTTGGTTTGGCTCCCATATCCATAAAGCGAGGATCTAAATTACATCAACTTCAATCTTCATTCAAGATATTACTCTACAGCGTCTTCATGGCAGCAGTCACAATGACACTGTCTGTATGTAATATTGTCTCGTATAAAAATGAATATGATTTCAAAAGAGGGCCCACGATTATCTTCAATATTCAAGAATATGCTGACACGTTCTTAACAGCGGCTTTTGTTTTCATGAGTTGCTCGAATCATCGTAGTATCATATCGTTTGTAAGTAATATTGATTATGTTGACCGAAGTCTACTGTCACTAGGTGTCACGGTATCTTTTAAACTACTTACTACTCTGTTTAGAACACAGATACTTTTTACTCTTACATTTATTTTAATACCACTGCTTTTCTCTTCGTATTATTGGGCAATCAATAACATGTCCATGTTAAATATTGTTGCTGCCTCTCTTTTTATACTTCGAAAAATTACTACATTCTCGATGCATCTGCAGCTTATAAATTATACGCTTTTAATAAGGCAAAGATTTCAAATTATCAACACAAAAATCTTGGAGATAAAAACCAATGAAAGGGAACCTCACTTCTTGAATTCCGATTCGTTCATTCCTTCTGTAAGAGAATCACTGTCTTCCGGCATTAATGACACTAATTTGACACCAATCTTAAGAGTACAGCCCAACAGTTTGATCAGTGTCGCAGTTAGTGCTCTCGAAGACACCAGGATTTCGGTACCTGACGATGTACCAAGTATAACGAACACGTGTCAGCAGAACTCTAGGGTCGAATTCACTGGACGACCTCAGGCAATGACTTCTTCTGACAGTAAGGGTCTTGTGGGACAGTTTCAGAAACGGTCTAGAATGACCCTAGTACGTCTTCTCGCACATCTCCATGACTTTCTGTGTGATACGGCTGAAGTTCTCAACTCACTCTTCTCAGTTCAAATTCTCCTCTATTCAGCCCTGTGCTTCGTCGACATAACTGTGAATCTGTATTGTTGTTTCTCTGTGCTCTTCAAGCCTCCAAACAGAACATCCCACAACACATACTACATGTATTGTTCTCTGTACGTATGTTTGCTGAACGCGATCCAAATCATTGGTACAGTTGCAGCATTTGCATTCACAGCTGAAGAGGTAAGTTGTCTATTTTCTCTGTTCGCATTCAGATTTTCAATTGTCTTACCGGCTCCCATCTAAAATCAAACAGATTGAAATATGCAGAATATGTAATTGTTACATTGTTCCCCATGGATGCGAAACCTTGTCTCTCGCTTTACGGAAAGAACACACACCGAGACTACTACAGAAGTGAGTGTTGTGGTGGGGATACTTAAATCTACCAGAAGAGAGGCAAGTGCAATATATGTAGCAGTGCTTAATTTCTGCTTTCCATTACATATTTTCAAAAAGCTCAATTCAAAGAGTATGAAAGAGATGCAATATGTAGCACGCACGGAAGACGTGAGTAATGCATGCTGTCACAATTTACCTTACACATTTCTCCCTTCTCGATTTATTACAGGGATTGACGATTCACATGACAATAGGCTGAATGGGTTAACTGGTCGGTATGAATGAGATATTACAGCTGAGTTAAATGCTGTATTAGAATAGATGATGTTAAGGAGCTTCAAATAAAATTAACTAGAAGAGTACAAACTGAATTGGATAAACTGCATTGTTACGTACAATAGTTGGCTAGAGAATACCGAAACATGCTGTACGGTAGAAAACAAAAGGACCCCGAAAAAAACATGTAAAAGATGGAATAGGTATGTAAATTCGGAACATGGGTTTATGATAACCTGTGTCATGATACTGAGAAGAAGAAATAAAAAATTGTCGGTTAGAAATTAGTTAAAATGATAATGGGCAGAGAATACGCAATTATAAAATGTAGGTATAAATAAAAGCAAATTAAGAAAAATTCTGGGCTGACTGCATGCAGACAAAGAAAACATAAAACATTTAGCGTATGTATAATTTAGGGCCGTGCCATAGCTCAAGCAGTTAGTCGCTGGCTTCCCACCGCGGCGGCCCGGGTTCGATCCCGGGTCTGGTCAAGTGGGATTTGTGGTGGAGAAAGTGGCACTGGGGAGGGTTTTCTCCGAGTACTTCGGTTTTCCCTGCCAATCTTCATTCCACCAATTGCTCCACAGTCACCCTCACCTATTATCTGGGGCTGGTACAATAGGCCAGAAGTGGCCGCAGAACAAAGGACTTAGTCCCACCCCACTAGCAATAAAAAACGTACAATTTATATTTATTTGATTACTAATATATGAACTCCCCAAACGACTACAATGTGCAACAGATATTACGGAGGAATCCACAGACAAGATGATCTCCGTGGTATGCGGTAACCATGAGATTCTACCACTGACCCTACACTAAGCAAGCAATCTGATTTTTTTCCCCTGGCACTACAGCCCCAGTGGGCCTAGGCCTACCTCCATGAACTCCGTTCACTTCGGTTTTTCTAGATCTTACATATACGGTAGGACTCCTTGGGCGAGTGATCAGCTCGTCGCAAGGCCTCTACCTGTAGACAAACACAGAAAAACGCACACAAACATCCATGCCCTGAGTGGGATTCGAACCCACGATCCCGGCTTCCGAGCGAGCGAAGACATTGCATGCCTTAGACCGCTGGGCTACCGTGACCGGAAAGCAATCTGATTTACTTGGGAAAGTTTTTGTTTAGAAGTAGCACTTGATTCAACTACAAACAATTTGCTAAAAAATAAATACTGTTTTCAGGCCAACCGTACAGGAGTAATTGTCCACAGTGTACTAACAGAAATGTCGCAGTCATTCAAGAAAAGAGAGGTGAGTTTGATTAATACACGTACAATTACTAAGTTTAGACCGTTAAATACTGTGAAATAAAATTACTGACATCAATGTTATCATTAATGTTGCCCAATTTCTTCCTGCATTATATTAAGACAAATTCAACCCTACAAAACAAACGACAAAATGCTCACAATCTGTGCCTTCTATTATAATAAAAATGTTGGAATCTGATATCATAATTAATTTCACACAAAAAGGTGTAAATTAGATTTCCATCTTAATGAAAACAAAATGAACATTTGTATTTTGCATCGTCCGTATGTTGATAGTGTTTCATGCTAAACTTATCTCAAATAAAGTTCAATGTTCTCTTCTGAAGAAAGCCCTAATTAACAATTTAAAAATCAGACCTTTACTTCAAATCCAGTAAGTTTCCATGTAGCCCTACATCAAATTGAACTGGAAACTCGTTTCTATTAGCACAGCAGTAGCTCCAAGAATAGCAACATTCTCCTTGATCACCAGGAGTTCAGACGGATCGATGTGGCTTCATCATAACACGATAAAATCATGCACATGAAAATGTATGCATTATCCTTTCAGTTTCTATGACATCAGATTGTAATTAATCAATCAAAGATGAGTATTTTGAAATTATTATTTAACAAATTACTGTTTTAACTCTGCGTGTAATGCAGTAGTTTTTTACGCTAAATATACTTTAAGTATTTCGTTCATTTACATCTATTTTTTTAATGCTAATGGGGTGGGACTAAGTCCCTTGTACTGCGGCCACTTCTGGCCTATTGTACCAGCCCCAGATGATAGGTGAGGGTGATTGTGAAGCAATTGGTGGAATGAAGATTGGCAGGGGAAACCGAAGTACTCGGAGAAAACCTGCCCCAGCGCCACTTTATCCACCACAAATCCCACTTGACCAGACCCGGGATAGAACCCGGGCCGCCGCGGTGGGAAGCCAGCGACTAACCGCTTGAGCTATGGCGCGGCCCCAGATTTGTAGCAACTTCAATATGAAAGTGAGGCTGTGTCCATGATATTTTATACTGATGTAAGGGGTTTGTACCTCGGACTGTACAGTCAGCTCTGTAGAATACTGTGTGCGTTTGTACGATGTGTTGACATTCGGGCTCTTATTGCAGTTGAAGGAGTTCTCTCTGCAGCTGTTGCACCGTAAGCTACAGTTCACGGCTTGCGATTTCTTCCCACTAGACTTCACTCTACTCCATTCGGTAAGACGTTCAGAAGTTCATGCAAGAGTGAGACAAGCTTCTCTATAACGTGGATTGTACCTTTCAACTGTTGCAGGGATGTCAAGAAAGCCATACCCGAGATGAAAACAATTTTAATAATTCTACAATTTGTGATGTATGAGATTTTAGGGTAGTGACTATTTTTGTGACTCCGTGTAAACTGGTAGCAGTTTACCGCAGTTTCGAAAGAACGGTCTGCATCAGTTTTCAGTTCGAGAGGTACGCATAGCAAAGAAGCAATGAACATTTATACAAGACTGTACGGAGTCATATGAAAGAAGCTAGAATTCTTCAATTTTAATACTTATTTCTGGTCACTTAGTAATCACGTGGACCTTGAACTGGTTCTTCTGAAACGTTCGTACCACCTACTACACTCATGGTATCACAACTCTCCCGTGAGATGTGACACCGAGTAACCGAACCCAGGAGCCAACGCTTCGAATGAACACCCCCCCCCCGCCTGCGTATTAAGAATATTTACCCTGCAGGTGTTTGGCACCTATCTACCAAACTACAAGACGTCATATATAAAATTGCATTAATATTCACGTGTGTTTTCATCTATGAGTGAATAATGTTTTAAATATTTTTTTACCTTCATTCATTCTTGAGTAATCTGCCAGACGACAGGTCCACAGTCTCTTCCAAAACAGTTCCTCCACTTGATGCGATCTAGAGCTTTCTCCTTCAAATGAAAATATCCTCTTCTGTCCCCAAGGTCATCCAGCATCTTCTTACGTCTTCTTGTCACTTCTATCCGCCCCTCTGTCTTTTCTTCAATAACTTCTTTTAGAAGGCAGTTTCTGCGTAAAACATGACCAATCCAATTAGCCTTCCGTTTTCTTATTTCATGTAGGATATTCCTCTGCTCACTGACTCTAATTAACACTTCTTCATTTCTCACATAATCGGTCCAACTGATCTTCTCCATCCTTCTCCAACACCACATTTCGAAACTTTCCAGATGTTTCTGATCTACTGCCCTAAGTGTCCATGTTTCAGCCCCATACAGAGCTATGCTCCAAATGTAGCATTTCACTAGTTTCTTCCTCAAATTTAAGTCCAATTTGCTGGTAAAAAGATTCTTCTTCTTGCTAAATGCAGCTTTTGCCATGGCAATCCTAGATTTAATTTCACACGTACACCTCCCATCATCTTATCGGAATTAAAATATGAAGGCCGAGGTTTAATTAAAATTTCCACGCATTGGAACTGGTGAAAAGATTCGAACTGCGATATGTATTTGTTACTGATAGTCATTTTTCCAGTAGGACAATAAAGAATAAAATTTGTTAATATGCTACCTTAGAGAACAAACAGTCCCGCCGAAAATCATGAACAAATTGTGTCCTTGTTACAGATGATTGGAGCTGTTACTACGTACCTGGTAATTGTGACCCAGCTCCAGCTCTCAAATCCAAACGGGATATTTTAAATTTGATAATAGTATCAGTGACAGCTCAAGTTTAGTGACACTTATGACGCCTACCGGCGTGTGATATAGGCTCTGAACTATACACAGATGATATACACGTACACTATATGAGATGGAACTGAAGACATATGAACGAATGCAGTGTATTCCATCTGTTTATAAAATGTGAAAACAACGGAAGCACACATTACAGCATGATATATACAGACATTAATTCCTGCAGTAATCTTCATTTGCCAGACAAACTCGTCATGAGAGAAGGCATGGCTTCCAAGCAAAAGGGATTGACTTGGACACTGATTGTAGTGTCGGAGATACAAAGGCAACGTCTCAAGGGCGACCAATAAACGAGTCTAATAAAACTATGCTCTACAATGGTTAGTCTGTCTCAAGAGTACAGTCTCCAAATTTATAAAGAAATGTACAAATTATTCCCAACATAAATCCTCAGAGCTGTCTTATTCACATACAAGATAACGAAGTGAACCCGTCGGCATGTACGTATTTTCATCACAGACACTGTTTCTCTATGTATTTATAAGTAACCACTGCATAATGAGGAGCTTCATAACTTGTACTCTTCTCCAAGTATAATTAAAATGATCAAGTCAAAGAGGATGAGGTGGGCAGGGCATGTAGCACGAATGGGGGAGATGAGGAATGCGTATAGGATATTGGTGGGAAAGCCAGAAGGAAAGAGACCACAGGTAAGACCAAGGCGTACATGGGTGGGCAATATTAGAATGGATCTTAGAGAGATAGGATGGGATGGTATGGATTGGACAGATCTTGCTCAGGATAGGGACCAGTGGAGGGTTCTTGTGAACACGTTAATGAACCTTCGGGTTCCATAAAATGCTGGGAAATTCTTGAGTAGCTGCAGAATTGGCGGCTCCTCCAGAAGGGCTCAGCTCCATGAGTGAGTAAGTAAGGAAGTAGGTTTATAAGTAATCCAGTGCACAAGTGTGATGCCTTATTTTGTTTCAAACACAAATGATTTTAATATATGCCACAGCGTTATTTTAAGACCTGTAATCATATAGAATGTTAGCATTCCATAGGCCTATTGCATTGCATTAAAATATGCTTTGCCTTCGTGACGTCCTACTTGATGAATTTTAAAAGCATGCGGTTAAGATATCCTGACAGAACATGGTAACAATTTACGACAGTTCGAATTGATTCGCACGTATAAAAGTGCAACATTCAACGAATTTATGAAGATATCCATCACTGGCGGGGAGGAAAGTGTGGAAACACACGAGTACGTATACACACGGAACAAAACTGTTCTCTTGTAATCATACGTACATTGTAAAATGCTGAGTAACTTACACAAGTTTAATATCTACATATCTTCTTTTTTATCATCACCGTCACCGTCACCGTCACCATTACCATTACCATCACCATTACCATCACCATCACCATCATCATCACAATCACCATCACCATCACCATCATCATCATTGGCAAACGGCCCTTTTTGAGCCAAAGCCTTCCTCAGAAGATTCTGCTCGACCGTCCGCTTTCACTTTTTTTTTATATTTCGTATTAATATTTTTAAAGAGAAACGTCGTCAGCCTTGCGTCCACTCCCCCAAACTGGAGGACCAGACAGGTCTCCTTATTTGTGTCCCTCACTGGCAGGGTGACCCAGTTATACGCCCAGGCACCGGATTCCCTTTTCGTGCCTTCTACGCTTCGTAGGGTTATGATGGAAGTGTTCTAACTTGTCTCCAAACAAGGTAGAATACCTGCGTACAATATGTTTATTTTGATACAAATTACATTTTCAGTCAGAAGAATATTGTATGTGTAATATGATTAATACATATAGACAAGTTGATGTCGATATCTAGCCTTCACTTATAACAGTCCTATGTTGTTATATTAGCGTAGTAGTTCTTAAGGAAAATCTATGATGGGAAAGTACAGTTCATAGATTTACAAGCGTATTTCCGTCATTAAAGCAGTCGGAAAGTAAAGTCATTTCTCATTCCTTTCCCCCATGACTGCCCTGCATTCCATCGTCACTTAACGAAACAAGACGTGACATTTTAAAGAACTCCATAATTATATTTCAACATGATTTCTACAGACATACATTACGTCCCTTTGCTTTATGAATGGTCTCTATTCTTTCAGGTGCTTGGGTTTGCAATATTATAGACCTTTATATTACTGTACCTATACATTCTATAGTTCCGTATTTTTTACTCAGCAGTTTTTTTCGTATGACATACCAGTTCCCTCTGGTGTTACAAGTTTATTTGTGCCACACTCCAAATCTTCTGACTTGCAAGACTGTGCTAAGAAAGGGATTTACTTGAGACATTCGGAATTTTGGTAAGGAAAGTGGTATCGAGCATTTGTGTCTTTAGGATAATCCCAATCCGTTAATTTCATCATAATACCAACAACTAATTAATAAACAAATAGTACAAAGTAATTTCAGCATTTGTAAGACAACTGACCACTAAACACGTTCATTCAAACATCACTGTATATCTAGTCACGCCCACTTGTGTTCGTTGCCATCACATCATTGTGTGACCTCAGGCTGTGTATGAAGGAAGTGACCTCAAAATTTGAAGGTGAGCTGGGAATATTCTGGACAAGAAATAGGCGAACAATAAAGCATGGGCATCCATCTTCAGGGACGGTGCACACGACTAAAAACCCCTCAGTGTATAGGATAAAAAAAAAATTATATATATAAGAACTCGGACTTTTAACGGACATATCACCACGGAAAACTCGTTTCAAATGGCTCCAGGTGATGTCCAGTGCAGGGCACTTGTGCTATGCACGATAATGGATTTTGGGTTCCCTTGGGAATTTTGAGGACTGAATGACAACAAACCTCTCATTTTGTTTTGATAGTTTCTTACTTGGATAACAGTCAGTAACTTGATCTGGAGGCAGAACCACAGTTTCATCATCATCATCATCATCATCATCATAAGTAATCTGTCAAGACGACAGGTCCACAGTCTCTTTCAAAACAATTCCTCCACTTAATGCGATCTAGAGCTTTCTCCTTCAAATGACAGTATCCTCTTCTGTCCCCAAGGTCATCCAGCATCTTCTTACGTCTTCTTCCTCGTCTTCTTGTCACTTCTATCCGCCCATCTATCTTTCCTTCGATAGCTTCTTTTAGAAGGCAGTTTCTGCGTAAAACATGACCAATCCAATTAGCCTTCCGTTTTCTTATTTCATGTAGGATATTCCTCTGCTCACTGACTCTAATTAACACTTCTTCATTTCTCACATAATCGGTCCAACTGATCTTCTCCATTCTTCTCCAACACCACATTTCGAAACTTTCCAGATGTTTCTGATCTACTGCCCTAAGTGTCCATGTTTCAGCCCCATACAGAGCTATGCTCCAAATGTAGCATTTCACTAGTTTCTTCCTCAAATTTAAGTCCAATTTGCTGGTAAAAAGATTCTTCTTCTTGCTAAATGCAGCTTTTGCCATGGCAATCCTGGATTTAATTTCACAAGTACACCTTCCATCATCTGTTAACAAGCTACCCAAATATTTAAAACATTTCACATTCTCCAGTTGTTTTTGGTCTATCTTTATTGTGACTGGGGTTGGTTGTCTCGAAATTTTCATTACTTTTGTAACCATAGTTTACAAAACTTTAAATTACACGCATTTAACTTGATACCACGTAGATGCTGTCACCGGTACTGTCTTGCTGCTTAACTCTATCATGCACGCAATAAACTGGAAAGGATATGGCAGATCCAGTATCTGAATCCTTTGTACTTGAACATTAAGAGTCAACGTTACTCGCACAGCAGCCTCTGTGCACAGCCACCTTAATCCAATGCATACTCTATATATCCGCTTATTTAAGTTCCCTTTACATATTACGTTCATGTTATCGTGTCGGGCTTAAAAGTGATCGCTTTTAAAACGATTTTATCCCTTTTTTTTCAAATATTTATTACTCCCACCCCAGTAGACGAAACATATATTACGGATCAACTGTTACCAACATATTAATCATCGCGATCAAGTGTCGCGTATATCCTTGCAGCATAATGGCCTATGGCGAATTACCCAGTGAGCATAGTGGTGAGCTTTCGGACCAGTGAAGACAGAAGAATGCAGAAAAAGGCGTTTTATATTCTCCGTTAAACTACATCTCTAATACTTAAATAGAATNCACATATTAATCATCGCGATCAAGTGTCGCGTATATCACTGCAGCATAATGTCCTATGGCGAATTACCCAGTGAGCATAGCGGTGAGCTTTCGGACCAGTGAAAGAGAAGAATGCACAAAAATGTGTTTTATATTCTCCGTTAAACTACATCTCTAATACTTAAATAGAATCAGCTCTATGCACTTTGTACTTCGTTGGCCTGTGTTTCTTAGCCTTGCGTGTTTCAGGCTAGGGAGGCTGGCAGATTCATCGCTTCGCTAGAGGTCTCAAAACTGTGGCTTCGAGCAGAAGTTGCAGTGGTGAAGGGCGAGCGAGAGACAGAGAGATTATACGAATCAGTTAGCACAGCAAGATCCCGTTGTTGCACTTCCACATGACCTGAATTCTCGACATAACTCCCCACTGATAGTGGCGTCACCATGACACAATCCACAGCAGTAAACAGCAAGGAGTCTACTTTTAACGTCCTGGCGACCAGTTACGGTAACGGTCGCTTAATCCGTCGCGACGATCTGATCTGGACGCTTCCAGCCCGACCCACTCTGTGACGCTGAACCCGAGACCAATGACTGGAACTTCTCTATGTGAAATTAATTAATAATAATCTAAAAATCTCTATACAATCCAAAATTTTGCATAATTTATATATGATTAAATTCGTATGGTTTATGCATATAAAATTAAAGTGCGAATCTAAGCAAAACCAAAAGGAACTTGCATACTGTGACATGAAGCCTGGAAGCCAGAATAGTGAAGTCAGAGGAAACAGCTGGGTAAAAGCATTCCCAAGCGCTACAACAATAGTCGTCCACTGCTAAACAACGGTACTAGCTACTATGATTCACTGGACGCAGTGTAACTTTAACTGTTTAAAGCCGATGTCCACGGCAACGAATTGTTGAAAGCACAGAAATGGAGGAAAGTGATAACAGTGTGACATACGCGGTCGGCTGAAGGGTTATATAAGGAGGCCGGGCGAGACCAAAGCAGGCAGTCGAAGGGAATTCAGAAGGCAGCTGAATAGCTCAAGCCTTGAGGACGTTATTTCATGTGTTATAGTTACAGCAACCTTGGGAATGCTGTAATTACTTGACGTGTGAGTATTCAATAAATCAATTCACCAATCCAAACCCCGTCTACAAGTCACTAATACACGTGAAAA